AGAAAATCTTGAGCAAACAGGAAGAGTGCAGACGGAAAACCTAGATCTGTCAGAGTAGAATCCAACCAAGCATTTGCGCTGACCATTATTATATTATTCTGTAAAAAATGTATCATACAAGAAAACAAGTGTACTGCAGTGATTGAGGCATTTCACCCCAACTGAATGTACGTCTGGTCTGGATCCAAGATCAAGCTTAGCCTGAACAAAAAGCATTTTCAGGTATATGGACAGTATGTACACAAATGATAGAATATAATTAATCTGATGAAGGTCACATGGACTGAAATATACACACAGTCGGAGGAAGACACACTATACATCTTGCTCATATGTTAATCAGCAGTACAGGAACATCAACATGACTTGCTGATGCAATGTTGGGTTAGTTGAGGCTAACCAAGTCACTTGTGGTCATGATTAACATGTTTTAAACAAGACTTTAGCAGCTTGTGAGTGCAGAGTCTGACATCTTATCTGACAAACCTTCAGGGGAGAACTCAGACAGGCAGACTTGCTTTACTGCCACTTTAAATAGAAGATGTTATCAGGTTGTGTCATTGTCCTGGTTTGGTTTAATTATCTCAAAGTCAACACAGAACAAACTGACTCAGGCTTATTTTCTCAGACCAGACAAACTTCTCCAGAGCCAGAGAAGACATTACACAACAGACTGAGTATTCCTCCCTCTGAATACTGAACTGATATTTATCTGTAAAAACTTTGGAGTTCCCCTGCAGATGGTAATTACATGAATATTCATTTCTTGGAGATAACAAAGCAGACCTGACTCAGCTGTGACTCACACTGAAGTCTACACCCAGGGGATGTGATTTAATGTGGACTCCTGGGAATCTGATGGTGTTTCAATCAGCTGTTTCATATTCTTGCTGTCTAATAATAGAAAATAATGACTTCTAATCACTTAAACACATTTGAACTGTGGCTTTTGGAAGGTTTTCATGGCATTTGATGAGATAACTACTGTTTACATGCCTGAGGGAAACACTGGAATGATGCACTGCTGCTCTTTTAAAAATGTGGGCTAAATTAAAGGCTTTCCAACAACTATTTAAAAACATTTGATTCATATCAGTGATTAAAATTCATTATAGTTCAACGAAAACATTATAAATAAGCCATTAGCAATAATCCTCAGCACTAAACAGCTTTCCCACTCCAAAACTGTTGATCTGTCCAGTGTTATTAGGATAAATGACCCAAAGAGATTCACAACCACATCCTATCTCACCTGTAGCTCAGATTACTGGTTTTGGACAGCACCAGTGCTTGCAAGTACTCGAGTATTGCTTCCAGAGTGCTACCCTGCAGGAGCGGTGAATGGATGAGTCTGAAGACTCCCGGCAGAACAGACGAGCTGATCTTAGCCAGAGTCGAGGGGTAGGCTTTGGCCATACCGGTCAGCAAGGTGATGGACACCTAAACAGAGGCAAACTACAGGTAGATTCAACCACAACATGTTTCATGTGTCCAACAATGTCTGCAGGCAACATCCTGTTTTAAGGAAAGCTGACTCAGCGGCCTGTGAACTTTTGAGTCACGCAGCTACGCTAACAGAGAACAAGGAGAAAAAATCTAAATAAAAATCAAAATGAGCAGAATAAGATCCCAGCTTTCCACCAACACATGTAATCTGAGCCCTAAACTTTATGTTTGATATTCCTTAACCCACTTCATAAATGTATATGTTTTTCTTGGTGTGAACTATATGATGGAACAAAAAGAACCACCTCCAAAAATCGGCAATTACACATTTTTTACCATAATACGACATAAAATAGGCACATTACTGCTTTCTAAAAGGCAATCTCAAAAAGTAAAACTTCCTGTCACTGTCTGTCTAAGTTCAAATGTCATGCACATGCACGTTGATTCATTTATGAAAAAAAATTATATTCTATAGATTTAATTCTTGACCTGATTCATGTGCATGTTCGGTTCAGTGCCTGTACCTGTGAAACATGCATGTCACTCTCATCCACCAGAGTAGGAAGTTCGCTCAGCACGGGCTCCAGGGCTGCAGGTTTAATGCTGGCAGCGTGATGAGTGACCAGCGCCGTCAGACACGCCAGCGTCCCGAGCTTCAACGCCCGCTGATTCTTCCTCAAGAAAGATCCCAGCACAGAGAGCGCTTCTGGCAGAATGGGTGACATGTCGATCTGTAGAAAAGGACAGGAAGTTACTAAAATCTTTCAAATTAAATAATGTGTTCATTAAATTAAAAAAACAAAACGAACGTCATAATAAACCTTTAACGGAGAGGCAGCGATGAGGGTGATGGTCCTAACTGCTGTTAGTCTTGTGATCTCATTCTTTAATCTCTCCAGAAAGATCGCCAAGACTGCCTGAACTTCTGCCCTCAGGTGGTCACCAAGGTGACAAACAATGTGACCCATACAGGAAATCGCTCGTTCTTTCACTTCCTGGTCGATGTCTGTTGCTTTGAGCCGCTTCATCGTTACAGAAAACACCTTTGGGAAAAATAAATAAATTAAAATGATAAAGAAAAGGTAGAACCTGTTCCACTCATCAGGAAAGCCTTGTGAAGCACCAGCACAGCAGCACAAAATTCCTGGTGCCAAAGTATGAACCAGAGATGTCAGAGACCATGAAGAGGGAGCAGTCACAGAACCTTGTGATCACAGTTTGTTTCAGATGTTTTTAAAATCTATAATTCTGTAGAAATACTTTGATTCAGGCAAGCAGGAAAGCACCGGCAAAGTCATGTTTGTTCATTTTCCTTAGACAAATCACAGTATTTAACCTGCCATTCACAGTCGTTTTTCATTAATTCTTTGCTCCCACAACACATGAGAAATGATAAATAGACAGGATGCTATGGAGCACACTTAAATTAAACCGCCTCAGACCAGAAAGCAAAACAGTCCTGAGCCATTTCACCTCTTTAACGAACGGTTTAGGGTCAAATCCTCCTGCTTGTCCCTGCGGTCTCATCACTTTGACCAGGTGCTGGATGACCAGCAGAGCCTCTGAGGTGATTTTATAGAACGTGTCCTCAATGCATGCAATCACTGGGGGCAGCAGCACCTGCAGGGGTCACAGCACAAGTTAGTCTTTACATTCTCATTATTGTTGAAAAATTTAGTGATTCAACTTTTTAAAGATGCAGATCCCCTGAGTCATTATGAGAGGCAGCGTACAGGTTTCAAGACAAAGCCTTAAAAGAAGTTTTTGAAACCTGCATGTGTGGCTGAAAGGCCTGAGGAGGGTGGGAGAGGAGCAGGACGTTGAAGAAGGAGAGCGCATCGATCCTCATGGTGGACAGGGTGGATTTGTCTGTCAGGGAGAAGATGATGCCTGCAGGAAGGAGGGGACAGGAACAGAAAGAAAAAAAGAAAGAGTGGGAGTAAGGAGCAAAAATACAGCAGCTGAAGAGAAAGAGAAAAGCTACTGGGAGACTTAGGAACAGCCGGTTGTAGGAAATGTATGAGTTTTAGATCTTAAAGATCTTAAAGATCTCCCTTAAAGTCTATGTGACTTTGCTGAAAAGAGAGTGAAAGTTTCTGACCAGTTTGACGGTTAAGAATTAATTTGTAATGCATGTGTGTGTGTGTGTGTTCCTGTCTAGCTATCTTTGTGAGGACCGAAATCTGCATTCTACTATACTTGTGAGAACCAACAGTCATTTGTGAGGACACGCAACCCGGTCCTCACAAATTTGAAGGTATTTAAAGGCATTTTTGGGGCTCAAAATGTGGTTTTAGTGTCTGGGTTACAATTAGGTTATGGTTAGGTTTAGGGTAAGAGTTAGGGTTAGGCAATCATTTTTAATGGTTAGGGTAAGGGGCTAGGGAAAGCATTATGTCACTGAAGGACCTCACTAAGATAGTTGAACGGGGTTGTGTGTGTGTATATGTGTGTGCCTACCAGGTATCAGGGCAGGTATATGCTCTTCCAGGGCTCCCGGTACAGTGTGAGCCAGCTCAGTGAGGAGACAGAAGCAACCCTGTCGGGATTTGATGCTCTTCTCCTTCAGCTGTCTGTGGAGGGCCTTTACAGTCGCCGGCACCTGGACACACAAATCGCCACACAATTTATTTCTGCAATTCATATTTACGAGACGCTCAGCAGAACTGGAAGACTGCAACATCTTAGATATGGACACGTTTGTTTAAAGGCGAAGAAGCTCAAGCAGGTTTTTTCAGACAGAAAGTGAAGGGTCTATTTAGGCTCATATATGGGACAAGCATGCAGGCATTTGGAATTGTAAATCATAGAGAGCTACTCTGATGGAGTCCAAGAATAAAAATATGACGCTAGAAATGAGCAAAGATCAGCTGATTTGCCTGGACTGTTAGGTAGTCTCGACTCTGTAGCCTGCCTTTTAAATTTAAATACCAAACATCTTTGAATTTTAGGTAAGTCAATGACACCTTTAAAAATTTAATTTTAACTTATCTATTTTTCAGCTCTACTTGTGAAACTCAATTAAACTCCATCCAAAAACTTCTCAGCACCTGTTTTTTCAGCAAGGCGACTGCCGGCTCCTCCTCTCTTCTCACCCCGGGATCTGAACCAGACACGATGAGGCTGTGGCGACTCGATGCCACCCGTGTTTGTCTCAGCAACGTTGAAAAAGCAGTGAAGACGTCGGCCCTGACGTTCTCCTCGCGCTCCTTGAATCGTGCCAGCAGAGCGGGGCAGATGGAGGAGTAGAAGGAGAGCAGGAGGTCCAGACGCGTGCTGATCAACGCCTCCAGACACTTGATGGAAGAGCGCCGCACCTTCCAGCTCATGTCATCGTCATCACTGTACTCGTCGTCTGACTCTGAGTGAAATCGTGAAACGAGAATAAACTCGATTTGCTTCATACAGTTGAAGAATGGAAGACAGCAAAACTCAAAAGATCTCACATTTTGTTGTGTGAAGTTTGTAATAGTTTTAAGAATCGACAGAGTCAATCTGAACAAAAACAACCACTTTTGTTGAAAAGTTAAATAACTTCTTTTTAAATCAGATAAACTCACTTAAAGAATACAGGTACAAAAATCATCCATATGCAGCCTAAATTTCTTTAACTTCAGTGTTTTTAATGTAGTCTGTGTGCATACGAACATTTCATGCTTCAATGTCAGTTATAAAGACCTGCTTTAAAGACTGATATTTATGTTTTAAAATACATGTGAAAATGTAAACACCAACATAGAGGCCTATTTGGGAACCAAGAAAACAGCATTAAAGAATAAAGGTTGTCCTGCTGTGGTGTCAGCTGCAGGTAAGGACTGTTGTTCTCTCTGAGCTCTCATTTGTTCACATTTTCACGCCACTGAAAACGGACAAATGATCAGTTATCATTTGGCCATTTGGAATGTAACCATGGATGTACAGATCGTAATCGCTGGATTAATTCAAAACTAGACACCTAAAACATGATGATTGATTACCATCATGTTCTGTATGTTCCTGTTATTTGCTTCCTGTTAATAGTTTTTCTGCTAAATTTCTATTCACAGACACACAGATCTCACACACCTTCCTCAAGCTCATCATCTATGTCCATTCTATCTTCATCCTCCTCCTCATTGTCATCATAGTTGTAGTTGGGGTCAAAGGTCATATACTTAAGACAAAGCTGAGTCACTGTGGCAATGTGAGGCGACATCTCCTTTGGACACCTGCCAATCAGGAAGTAACAGAAAGAGCCACAGTAAGGACATGGAGTGTGGGTATGTACGCCTGTGGGTCATGCTGAGGGGACAATGACCTGTTTACAATATGGACTGGGGGGGGGGGGGGGCCACGGTATGAAAAGGGGGGAAAAAAACAAAACGCTTGGACACTGCTAGCACGGGGCGCCTCCACAAACGCAAAGCAGGAGATGAAGCATCGCTGAATATGTTTCCAAACCAACTTCATTCTAAGCCAAAGACTTGATTTGAAAATATGGTGAAGCATATCTTCCCTTTGGCTTCACCTGCACAAGTGCCGAGGTAGGTCTCCCTGCAGAATTAGCTTTCCCTGCGTCGGGAGCAGCGCTGGGCTCTTCAAATCACGGACTAACAGTATCCTACAGCTGTTTATGTTTTTAAACCCATTTTGCACAGAGAGGCATTTTTTGAAAAATGTATTGATAGCAATGTTGAATATTATTACACATGAAAAAAAAACCAACTACACGTAAAATAATCACACGGTGACGCCTCTGCCTTTGTAAATAGAGAGACAGTAACTGCGTGTTTGTATGTAAGTGTGTAAAAAACTGCAGGCAGTCAGATTAACAGTATTTTGTCTCTATCTGCCATTCTGTAATTCATCTCATGTAAACAATAACGTGTAAAAGAGTTAGTAGTTTATTTTATTACTACCTGTAATTTATTGCAGTTTACTTGTATTTCCTTAATTGTGTACTAAATGTTTGAGGTGTGAAATGGAGCAAAATATGGGCGTGTGTGGTTGGAGGATGTGTTTGTGCGTGTGCGTGAGAAGGGGGGTGGGGGGGCATTTTTCTTGTAAAGCAACGGGGGGCTTAGCAAAAAAAGTTTGGGAAACACTGCTATAGTGAATGTATATAAAGACTTGCTTCAAGGTAACAATTAGAACAGGGTTAGGTCTGTAGAGCTTCTGGTTATAGTCAGTGTAACTCTGTGGGAAATCAGCGTGAAAATATTGTCCCCTAAAGTGATGGAAACATGACTTTGTGTGTACCTGCGTATAAAAGCTTCAAAGGCCTGGAAACAATACTCTCTCAGCTCATCATCTTCTACTCCGGTGAACTTTACCACCATTGGGATCAACTTCTCTAAATGTTCACCTACAAACCACAAAGAATGGGAAAAGAATCTACACTTTAGATGTTTTTCTTCACTAAATGACACAAAAATGCATGAAGAACCAAAGTTTAAAAAGATCCACGAGTCTGCAGCCATGTGGGGGCTTCATACAGTGCAAGGGCACCAGATGAAGGGCCAAGAGCCGACTTCCCCTTACAGGGAAAGTTGGAGGAAAGTCATCATCTTAGCTATCAGCGCTAAATTGAATTCTAGATCATCTGAAAGACATTTACATGTCTGAGTGTGGAACATTTGCTACATTTGTGAAACTAAGAAGATGTATTCTATAAAAAACAGTCAGAATACAGGAGCGCTGGACTATCAACATCTGAAACCTTTCAGAAGACCGGTCACTGTCCTACTAGTTTGTTTCCCCATTCAGCACTGAAGGCGGCATAAACACAGCATCAGCTCACCGACTCGATGGCCGCCCTGACGACTAATGGTTGCCAGGCACTGGATGTATGTTCTTGTCATTGATGTGGGCGGACCCTTGGCCAGCTCTTTCATCAGGTGTTCTGTCAGCTGGGAGAAGAGGGCAGGGCTGCAGCAGGGCACCAGGTGACCGAGAGCTAAGATGGAGCGCTTCCTGACCGCCATTCTGGGGCTGGTTAACTGCAGCATCCAAATGACGAATGAATGAAGAAACATTAACGAGCAGATAAAGGGACAAATGAGTAAAAATACAATCAAATAAACTGTACAACAAAATGAATGAAAGTCATCATAAAGCTGTTAAAGCATACAGTAAATATACTGAAAGCAACGTGAAATGAGAGAAAGTGATGTGCACGATTCTTATAAAAACAGGTTTCTTATAATAATATGAAAAATATCCTGCTATCTTAAGTATACTAATAATTATGTCTAAAAACAGATGACAGTGATTTTTTGGGTTGTCATGGTAGCACTACACTGTAAAACCACAGTTAACATTTGAGC